CTGAGGCTGCCTGAGAGCATGGGGGGAATGGATGACCTCTTAAGGTCACTTCGAGCCCTATTTTCCATCATTACAGGGACATCCAATACTTGAAATGCTTTGCAATCAAAGCTGCCTTGAGATGTTTCGGTGTCTCAAAGCAGAGCAGAAGGACCATTTCGGTAACGCAGCTGTGACCTTCCCAACACATTCCCGAATTCCTGAAACACCGACTCCGTGGAGAAGAGCGGAGCTCGCTCCCCAAGCACTCCCTGGCAGGGCAGGATGACACAGGGCAGCCCCAATCCTCTGCTTCATTTCCAGGGAGAAAAGTGCTGTGGCTTTGATGGGCTGAGGGTTGAGAAGGGCAAGGTTGGCATCATTTATTAGTGCCCACGTTAACGCTGGAGAAAGCAGCTGTGGGCATATGGCCCTTCTCTACATCCACACTTCACTGAGAACCTCTGCACCTCCCAGACCCCATCTTCAGCATTTTAAGGCATCAATCAGTGATTATCACATCAACAGAATAAAATTCAGACAGTGCCCACCTGTCTTTAGAAATACCTTCTACCTCTACCAATAGCTGTTGGGTTTTTTGGGGTATATTTTTTGTTTGAAAGATTGTGAGAAATTTTAGAGCGATGCTGCCGTCCAAACTGCACCACGAGCAGACGCCCTGAAATAACCGTAACTGCAAACGCTGGGTCAACATTTAATATTGCTGGATATTTATTTCACTCTATTAACTTTATATCCTACAGAGGCACTTAATGAGAGGAAAACAAATAGGTTGCACTTTGGAGAAACAAGATATCAGAGTTGGCTGGGAGTGAAGTAGCCAGAATACATATAATAAAGACACCAGGATAAACTATTCCATTTTATTGATTAGCAACTGTACTAGGAGTATAAACTGGTTACTTGTAACTATTATAATGCGTCATTTATTACAGTGGGCACAACGGTCCTGCATGGGTGAAAAGCTTTTGGGGACCCTGGCACGCTCGTGTGCTGCTAGCCAAAGGACTATGCCACATGTTAAGTAGTTCCTGTGAAATTAGTAATTACTCCCTAATAGCACTGAACTCTTAATTTACCTTAACAATCTCCTGAGCCTTTATCTCAATGTGATATAGATGCGACACTTTTTGCTGGAGAGGCTGGTTGTAACCACGGAGCAGGGAGAGCTCAGCTCTGCCAGCACCAGGGTGGGGTGGATGGGGCTCGTCCTGCACCCCGCAGCCTCCTGTGCAGGGGGATCGGCAGTGATGGGAACCAGCCTGTCCTGACACCATCCCAGAAAAAAGCAGAAAACCCCACTTGTATAAAGGAACTGCGCAATGGGTAACCTTTACACAGAGACATGTACCTCATCACGCTGGATTTCTGTGTGTGCCTGGGACAGGACACACAGGGGACACTGTGCCAGCACAGCAAAACCCTTTCCGATGCTAAACCCAACCAGCACTTTGATTTTGCCGTTATTACTGCAATTTCACCACAGGCTGCTTCTTGCTCAGCCCTGTCAACCCAAAATCCTCCTGCTTTCCTACCCAAATCCCTGCTGTAGCTGAGCCAGCACAAACCTGGGAGGATGTGCACATACACACATGCCTCTTACACCCAGGTGTGCAGGGTTACTGCTCTGAGCAGCTCAGCTGAACTCACAAAATAACCCAAACAAACAAAAAAAGAGGCTGGCAGACCCCAGGGGAAGGTTGTAACTTGGATAACCTCCTGCTAAAATTCAGGCTGCTCGGGGGAACTGAGCCAGCGCCGTCAGCCATGGGCGCTGCTTCATTTCGGGAACAGGGCTCAGCTCGGGGGTTAGGGTGGCACAAACGTGATCCTGCTCTGCTCTGGGTGGGATGGGGATCTTGGAGCAGCAGAGACGGACATGAGAGCACTCCACAGACAGGATTTATATGTTAAAATGTAATGGGTCCAGTTATCCCAGAAAAACCCAGAGGAAGCGGGGCAGGAGGAGAATCTTACCAGGGACACGGTCACGGTGGAGCCGATGGGAGGTGGATTCACCCCTTGTGCTCTGATGGCACAGGGAACATCTGCAGAACATCTGCTCCCCTGGATCCAGCTGTGCAAGGGCAGGGGGAGGTGGTGGCCTCACTGACCCATGTCCCCAGCAGCTGCAGAGCCACAGGGACCCACTCCATCACTCAGGACAGAAATGGCCCAAGTAGGTGCTTAGGTCCAGTTGCTGACCCTCACCCCACATAGACTCCTGCTGTGCCACCACCCTCCTCCTCATTATCCAATGCTGCCTCACTGTTTCCTACTGATTTCCTGTCTGCCACTCTCTATCCCAAGTTTTCTTCCTCTTAGTGCGCACATTTTGGGGGACAGATGCTGTTTTCAGTGTTTGGGGTTTGTACAAGGGGTTGCAGACTCAGTTGGGGTGCCCAGACTTGATGGTGGCAGAAATAACAATGATGGGAGCTACTGATTTTAGTAACGTTATTCCTCCTGTAGATTTGAGCTCTCTGAGATACCACACTTGGCAAAAGAAAAGATGAAAATTAAGGAAGATTTTACTATGGAAGGATGTGCTACATGGAATTAAGATTTAGACCAAAGCCATATGTATTATACCCACAATCCATGCCCATTCTTGATTTTGTGATACAGTAATGGTTAATTGCCATTAATGTCAACATATTTTAAAAGGTTATTTTCCTGCTCTGTAGGTCAATGGACCTAATGAAGCAGCTCTAAGTGGGTTTGAATTGCTTTGATTAGGTGCTTGATTTCCTGTTTACCTGCTGGAAGTGGGTTTGGTCCGGCACAGCTACCATCTATAAAAGCTCTGCGGGGTCTCCTCTGAGCACCAGAACAGGCTGAGATCCTCTGGGCAGCTTCAGAGAAGCAGAAAGGTAAGAAGCTCTATGGCAATCTCTATTTTTAACCTTTTTTACTCCGTTTTCCTCCTAAAATAACAGTGGGAATGAGCAGTGTTTGCGAGTGTCAGGCAGTAGCCATAGCAGAGCAGGAACAGCCAATACCTTCGGCTGAGTTTTGCCCAAAGTGGTACAAAACCGGCTGTTTTCTGGGTAGGTTCGGCAGAAAAGACCTGCAGCAGCGTCCGTGTTGGGTTGTAAAGGGAAAGGACCTGATCTCAGAGGAGGATTCAATACACGGCAAATGCCAGACTGGGGTCTGCATCTTTGAGCACGTGCTACACAGGGAAATGAGGGGAAATTGGCTCTTAGCTGCTTTCTGGGACCTCCCAGCTACGGATAAAACAGGGATAATGCTTCTGCCAATGCAAACGGTGTTACACAGGGGACTGGAAGTTTTTCATGGTGCAAGGATCCCACCGGTTGCTCCTCCTTTTGTGAAGGAGTCAAAGCATACAGTCAGGTTGTAGGTACCACAGCAGCCTGTGCCAGGCAGGGCTGGCAGAGCTTCACTGCTCAGTTCGGTGTCACGGAGGCAAAGGGATCTTCTATTAACTCAAAAAAAAAGGTTTTTCAGCAGCCTCTGACAACGCAGACTGCTTCTGCTCCCTGTTTGGGTAAATCCTGCAGAGAAGCAGTACTGCTCTTTCTTAAAATTTAGGCTGCAGTGCAATTCCTTTCCTAGCATCATAAACGATTACCCTAAGCAGAACAATATTCTCGCACAACTTGCCTGCTTTCAGATCCATCATTATATCACCAGTATGTGAAATGAAAAGCAAACAAGAGGGAATCTCGCAGTTATTTAATCATAGCAATTTTTTTCCCTGTTCTCATTTAAATTGTCAGCTTTCTGTACAAAGGCATTTACTTCTGCTGTTAACACACTCCGTAACTATTTGCCTTTTATTGCTTTAGCTCTAAGTATTTTCGGGATTTTGCCAATGTTCAGAACATCACACCTTTGCTTTTGAGAGCATTCCTCAGGACCTGATGCACCCGAGATAATGTAACACATTTGGTATTTTTCTCACTTAATAGGAAGGGCTGAAAACATTTGTAAAATATGTCAATTTTTCAGAAATAAAACGTGCCTCGGTTACAAACAACATCCAAACTTGCAGATTCTCGCTCTCTCCAAAACAAGACTCGGGCTGTTGTGAGAGTACAAATAACCACTTACAGGAGTAAAGTACTATCAATATATGAATAAATTTTTGAAGGATGGGATACCTGAGTCCTTATCCAGACCTTTTATTTTCATTACTATATCATTCCTGTTAACAGCAGCTCTCCGTTGCAATGCAGTTTCCAGAAATATCTATAAAATAGAGCGAGGTGAGGGACAACAAAATACATCTGCGAGCCGTGATCAAAACCATTTTTGCGTGGAGTTTGCAAAGCTGGAATAGTAATTAAAAGAGCTCAAATGTCCAAGGGCTACCGAGCCGAGCTGTGGACGTGAGGACCAGGAACAGCTTGAAACGAATAAATCTTGGAATCCGCTCCTGTCGCTGTCCATGGGATATTTGTCATAACTGATATTCCCTGACTCTGGCTCCAGTCCCTACAAAAGGAATTATCCATCCCGACAGGAAATCTCCTAGAAATTAGATCAGGCTCCTAAACCCCACGGAACCGCAGTGTGGGATAGGCAGGATGTTGTTCCTAAAAAACAACGTACGTTCCCGTTCACGTACTCGCAATTGAATCGACCCTCAAAGCACAATGAGGTACCCACAGGGTCAGCTTGTAAACACGGAGGAAGACAAAGCCCTCGCCTCCGGGAACACGCAACCCACAATGAATTTGATGGTTACAATAAAAGTATAGGGAACCAACATTAAAAGACACCGCGGTGGGAAAGAGCGTTGGCATTGAAAAAGTAATTTAACTGGGAACGGCAGCGGAGGGCTTTGTAGGATGGAGAAGGCTGCTCCGGGCACAAGGGCTGGAGAAACACATTTACAAGCACAGGCACGTGCCCAGCCACCGCGCATCCCTCTGGTTCACTGTCCTGTCCCTTGTGTGTCCCTTGTGTTACAGGGGCTGCACATCCGGATTGTCCTCTGCTTCTGAACGGAGAAACCAGCCGAGAAAATGATGTCTTTCAAAGTTTTCTCTCTGCTCCTGGCTTCGCTGGGCTTTGTTTTGATGGAAGAGAACATCTCAGGGTAAGTGTTTTGGAAAGCTCATGGTGTGTTTTGAGCCTTTTCCAACTCCTCACTGGAGGCAAATGGACTCTTTCCATTGGCATCTTGGTAAGTAGGTGAGAACACGAGTCCTGAGGTAGATCTCGGATAATAGAGACAGGCAAGCATAGAGAGATGAGCAAATGATAAGAGAGAGATCAAACTAAAGCCCTGAGCCTTTGAGCCACAGCCAGGAACTCCCAAGTTTTCCCTACAAATTTCATGGCTCTGGGTTAGGAGGAACGAGCTGGAAGTCAACCAGGAGGAGAAGAAGGTTGGCTGAGAACTAGAAACAAGATGTAATCATCTCCATGAGTGAGGCTAGCGGGCATCCAGTAATTGGAAGCTTCTGAAAATATGACCAGTTACACGAAGCAGGTATATCATAAAGACTTTCCCTCTTTTTCCTTGACTCCTGCTAAAAAATTTCCAACTACCACCTGAAAATACCCCAAAGAGTCCTTATTAGAGCAGTAGGAGCTGCTGCAATCTAACAGTACTAAAAAGGATCAGTCTTGAAACCCTTTGCCAACTTAGGTAGCCACCGACCATGTCTGTACCATCTGACCAGCCCTGGTCTCCTGGCAGCCACCCCTGAGCCTCTTGAGGACGCAGGAGAAGGTGTCCTTGGCCCCAAATGTGCAGCTCACTGGAGGAGGGAGCCTGAGCATGCTTGGTGCCTCAGCTCAGAGCCAAAGTCTATGTGAATCAGGCTATGGCACTAAAAAAACCACACTGACTCCAGACCATCAGCAAATATCCCGAGCTCAGCTCCTCCCGCGGTCTCAAATCCGAGCTGCGACTGTGTCAGCAGCTGGCAAAACGGATGAGGAGCGTGGTGGTCCCTTCTCCGAGCAGCTCCTCATGTTACAACACAGGAATGGACCAAAAGAGATGAAAAGTGGTCACCAAACCTTGCTGATTGTAGGGAGCGCATGGGCCACCATGTGTAACCCCAGCAAAACTCCGCACACCACGTGCTTGCGGACTGCGTGCGACTCTGTCTGTCTCTGCTCTTACCCCAGTATAAATATAAGGGCTCCCAGTGCCAGACCAGTGCAAAGACGCTACTCCGAGGCCACCCTGGCGAGCGACTACAGCCGCACGATGGACAACATGCTGAAGAAGAACTTTGTGGAGTGGTTGCTGGCCAGACGGGAGAAGAAAAGCGAGTAAGTGCGCGGACTTTCGGTGCTCCTACGATCCCAACTCTCAGCTGCCGTCAGCCGAATGATGGCTACGGAGAATGTAGAGCCGGGGATATTTTTCTGGGAGCGCAGCGATGAATCTCTTAGGCGTTGGTTTTCTTTTTTTTCTTGTCTCTTTTTTTTTTTTTCTCTAAGTCTTAGAAATGTTTCTGGTCTGTCGACACACAGCGCAGCTATCCCCCTCCCTGTCCAAAACTGCCTCCTTCTCTGGCTGCTGGTAGACGGAGTGGGAGGGAGCCGGGTTTAGTGGAAAAGCAGCATTTTGGCACCCTCTCGTGGCATCTCGGGCTGATACACAGAATCACAGAACATTAGGAATTGGAAGGGACCTCCAAAGCTCATCCAGTCCAATCCCCCTGCCGGAGCAGGAACACCCAGATGAGGTTACACAGGAAGGCGTCCAGGCGGGTTTTGAATGTCTGCAGAGAAGGAGACTCCACAACCTCTCTGGGCAGCCTGGGCCAGGGCTCTGTCACCCTCACTGAGAAGAAGTTTCTTCTCCAATTGAAGTGGAACCTCCTGTGTTCCAGTTTGTGTCCGTTACCCCTTGTCCTATCATTGTTTGTCACCGAGAAGAGCCTGGCTCCATCCTCCCTATTTCGCCTTTTCCAGCAACATCATCGAGCCATACAAGAGAGAAGCTGAACCCCATGGATCAGCTGCGAGAGGCCAAAAATTGGACCTGGCCACCCAGGAAGCCAAAGATTTCTTCGCTTGGCTTCTGAAAGCCAACAAAAACCAGAGGTGAGATGGGAAAGCAGAAAATCTGGTGGCAGGGAGGGATGAGGTCCTCGTGTTTAACTCTTGAAGGAGTATTTTGAGGCAGGAAGCTATGGTAAAGTCTTCACAGGAGGATTTTAATTTTAAAAGGAAACTTCTCTTTGCAATTCTGTCTCATGAGTGAGGAAAAGAACAAAGACAAAAAAAACCCTCACAGATTTAGACATTTCTCATAGAATACAGATTTCAAAACCACAGATGATTGGGGTCTTTTTTGGTTTTGCAAACGTCAGCACAGCCTCATCAAAACCCAGCGCTTTGCTGGGGTCAAAGGATGGACTTTTGACAGGGCTGAAGCGCATCTGCTCCTCTAACATCTCAGCATCACTGAAACAGAGAAATCCAAATGAAGTGCTTTGACCTAATCCAAACAAAGCCTTCCCCAAAGAAAACTCCAGTGAAAACCGAGATGAAATTAATACACTTCTGCAAAGCATTTTGATTTGATCAAATCAGCCCACAGGGGGAAAAAGGAATCCCACTTGTTCACACTCTCAGCGTGTTGATCAGTTAATTTAAAAAAGAAAAAATAAGACTAAACCAAAATAGTTATTTTCTCTTATTGCTGCTACAAGCTCTTATAAAGAAAAGCCTGGCTCTAAACGTGAAACCACGCAGGAGATGCCTGCCTGACCCAGGGGGAATTTTCCAGTTTGTTTCTGATCTGAGTGTCCCCAGTAAAGAGCACAGAGGGGTTTGGGTTTTTTTTTTAAGCTGTAATCATCTTAAAATCTCAATGATCACGGTCATGATGGTGATTTGAGCTCGCTGGGAACAGGTACCTCTGGGCAAGGTACCCGAGTCCATATGGAGCCGCCGTTGCGGCAGCTCCTGCCTGCGCTTCCCGAGCCATCTGGCCGAGACCACGCTTGTGCATCTCCGCGCCGCGCAGCTTTGTGCTGTGTCAGCGTATCCACAGCCTGTCAATAGCCTTCACCTCCCCCAAGCTTCGCTTATGTCACAAATGCTCAAAAAAGCAAATTAGACACTTGAGTCCAAAGAAAAATCTGTTCTCAGGCACTTTCTGCGTTTAAAAAAAAAACCCACCAAGAAATGAATGAGGGATGCATTTCCTCGCTTTAATGTGAAGGGGATTTTTACAAAACCTAACAGGTTGCTGCTGCTTAGTCCTAAAATGGTGGCAAGAAGGAAAGAAAAGCACTTACCGCACACAGACCACATCCTTCAGGCACAATCCTAGTGTCTTCTGGCCAAAAAATGGAATTTTGAGCTACAGGGAGTCATGGGACAGTCACCCAGAACAAGAATCTGGGGGCATTTGTTGTCTTTTACAGCCTTTGCTGTAAACCCTTTAAAAACCGCTTCAAAAACCAGGGTGCGGGGGATGACCCGGGGCTGGGGGAAATGAGCCCAGTTCTGGTTCACAGAGGTGTCTCGGGCCAAGCACTCGGCAAATCAGACACTGGGAATCGCTGGGCATACTGAAAATACAAAATCAAAGAAACGAGGGCTTTGAGGGATCTCACGAGGTCACTTGGTCTGACCTCTGCTCCGAGGCAGGATCAACGCGCCCTAAACCGTTCCTGACAGATGTTTGTCTAACCTGTTCTGGGAGGGGGGAAGGGAAACCTTTGATGCTAGAGATTCATCAGCTTGATTACCTTTAATTTTTTTAAAAAAATTGTTTTCTAGCGTCTCCCTTAATCTCCTTAATTGCAAATGAAAAAATGTGACTTGCAGGGGAAAGTCCTTCTTGGAAACAAAGAGTTTCCTTTGTGAGTTTGGAGCGTAGATGCTGCTTCACCCACGCTCTGCCTTTGTTTTGGTGTCTGCTGGGTTTAGGAGGAGGTAGGGTGCAGGAGGGGTCACTGGGCCGCTTCTTCTCATCCCCCTAGCCTGACACACACGTTCACACACCAAGATCAAGGCACTGCTGTGTGCAAGGAGGCAAAAGGAGGTTAAAGTTTTTGGTGGGTTTGTCTGAGTCAAAGGTATTAGAAGACAAGGAAAATAAAAGATCCCTGTGAAGTGGAGGGATTGGGATATGAGGCTGTTACTGCATCTCCTCTGTCTTTATGGCGTGGCACATTTCTTGCGGTTTTAGCTCTCCGGAAGATCTGAAGGATGTTGTGAACCAGGAGTTTCTGACATGGCTGATGTCGACTGATCTCTGCAGACCAACGTGAGTGGCTGTTCTACCTATTCCTGTCGTTACGCGCATCCCTGCAGGTCCTTCCCAGCCTTGTTCCCAAAGGGACTTGCTGCAGGGCTCAAGCCATGAATTTAGGATTTCTTGAGATAACCACTGAGTGCAGCTCAGTGACTGGAGAGTGAAGAGCTCTGGCCAGAGTCCGGTTCTGCCAAAGCATCTTCAGACCATTGATAGAACAAAGATAAGGGGAAAGACAAACTTCAAAGTATTACTGTCTAGAGAAGGGAGGTTAGTGAAGCCTTTTCCCCTTTTTTAATGAGAAAATAACTACAGAAAATAATTTTTGCATATTGTACACTGCTGTGAAAGGCATTTGAAGAGAAACACAAGAAACCGGGATGCAAAAGGTGCAGGGGAGGGCCCCGAGGAGGCTCATGGGAATGGCAAACCCATCCTGTGCTTAGCTGAGGAAAATGAAGAGAGACAAAGTCACCACCTATAAAAAAAAGAGAGCAAGAAAAGAGATGTTTAGGCTAATGGCAAAAGATGGCACAAGAACAAAAAGGGATGAACCGGCAGTGAATAAATGCAGGTTGGAAATAAGAGGCAGCTCAGTGCTATGGACAATTCCATGCAGCTCGGTCAATGTGAGCTGAGTGGCCAGGCCAGAGAAAACAAAACTGTTGAGCTCACACTGCAGCCTTTCCTGTGGAGAAATGCAAATGTACATCTCTCTCCTCTAATCAGTTGCCGACTTCTTGCAAAACTCGTCAGTACTTACTATTAGATACGGCCTTTCATAGACATCTTGCTGTCGAAATGGATTTGCAAGGGATCAGAAGGGGCTGGAGGGTAAGGACAAGAACTTATGCCTCGTTTCCTTTAGGAACCAAAGGGAAATCGTTACGTGCACTACCACAGGAATTCATGTTTTTCTCTCCCACTTCTGCTTTGTTAGGACTGAGTAACTCCAGGACCTTCCCCAGGAGCTCCCTTTTCATCCTATGGAGACACACAAGGAGGAGGAAAATGTCTTGTATTCACTCTGTTCTGTGCAGATTGTCTGTTTTCCTAATGCAAGCAATAAAGTTTAGTCTGAAGCTAAACTAAGATTCAGATAAGACCTGACTTGGGGATGGGCCACAAAACATTAAATATCTAAAATCTTACTTACCGCAGGGAGACTGAAAAGCCCCCCAGTGGGGGGTACTACCCACCCCAGGGAGGGCACTCAACCAGAAAGGAACCCAAAATCCCCACACAAGGCCTCTCCGCCACCCCGGGGGGGGACCCAACCACAGAGGGGACCCAAAACACCCACGCAGGGCCTCTTCCCCCACCCCGGAGGGACCCAACCTCCAGCAGGGTCTCACCCCCCAATACACAC